GGGCAGCAAGGAGATCAAACCAGTCAATCAAATAAATCAATCCTGAACACTCATTGGAAGGACTGATGCTAAAGCTGAAGCACCAATACTTGGACCACCTTATGCAAACAGTCCACTCATTGGAAAATATCCTGATGCTGGGAAAGACTGAGGGAAGGAGGAGAAGTGGGAAACAGAGGATGAGATAGTTGGATGGCATCATCAACTCAATAGACATGAGTCTGAGCAAACTCCGGGAGACAGTGAAAAACACGGAAGCCTGGTGACCTGCAGTCCATGGTGTTGCAGAGTTGGACACAACTGAGTGAACAACAACAAAAAAACCTTCAGCTCATGAAATTTACTTGAGAATATGTGAAATATATCCTTGGGAGGATATATGAAAAAATCTATACTTGGAGGCTGTGTTGTCAAAAAAATGAACTGGAGGAATCTATAATATTACAGGCAATTTACATACCTAAACTCTAGTTTACTCAATCACTACAAGTTTTGATAATGTGTTATGTGTAAATCTGTTCCTAATTTCCTGTTTTTAATCTTAGCAGTGATGCATGTGTAACTACTTTGAAGTGAGTTTACATGAATACAATTATTTTCTTATTACCTTTGCTTCTCATGTCAGAATGAGGAATAATCTTCCCAATTTCTTTTCTTTTGAATTGATTTCTTCATTATCCCTATATTCTATTCAGGCGATTTAAAATGAAAACTAAAGAGGTACATACAACTTCATGCATTGTGAAATTCATATTTGGGGAAAACATTTAAAAACATTTAAAAAACATTTAAAAATATTTCTTGCAAAATACCTTTGATATTGCTTCTTTCTGTTCCTAATTTTCTTTTCAGGGAGTTCAGTTCAGTTTAGTCACTCAGTCGTGTCTGACTCTTTGAGACCCCATGAACTGCAGCATGCTAGGCCTCCCTGTCCATCACCAACTCCTGGAGTCCACCCAAACCCATGTCCATTGAGTCAGTGATGCCATCCAACCATCTCATCCCCTGTCATCCCCTTCTCTTCCTGCCCTCAATCTTTCCCAGCATCAGGGTCTCTTCAAATGAGTCAGCTCTTCGCATCAGGTGGCCAAAGTATTGGAGTTTCAGCTTCAACATCAGTCCTTCCAATGAATACCCAGGACTTATCTCCTTTAGGATGGACTGGTTGGATCTCCTTGCAGTCCAAGGGACTCTCAAGAGTCTTCTCCAACACCACAGTTCAAAAGCATCAATTCTTTGATGCTCAGCTTTCTTTATAGTCCAACTCTCACATCCATACATGACCACTGGAAAAACCATAGTCTTGACTAGACGGACCTTGGTTGACAAAGTAATGTCTGCTTTATAATATGCTGTCTAGGTTGGTCATAACTTTCCTTCCAAGGAGTAAGCCTCTTTTAATTTCATGGCTGCAATCACCATCTGCAGTGATTTTGGAGCCCAGAAAAATAAAGTCAGCCATTGTTTCCACTGTTTCCCCATCTATTTGCCATGAAGTGATGGGACCGGATGCCATGATCTTAGTTTTCTGAATGTTGAGCTTTGAGCCAACTTTTTCACTCTCCTCTTTCACTTTCATCAAGAGGCTCTTTAGTTCTTCTTCACTTTCTGCCATAAGGGTGGTGTCATCTGCATATCTGAGGTTACTGCTATTTCTCCTGGCAATCTTGATTGCAGCTTGTGCTTACTCCAGCCCAGCGTTTCTCATGATGTACTCTGCATATAAGTTAAATAAGCAGGGTGGCAATATACAGCTTTGACGTACTCCTTTTCCTATTTGGAACCAGTCTGTTCCATGTCCAGTTCTAACTGTTGCTTCCTGACCTGCATACAGATTTCTCAAGAGGCAGGTCAGATGGTCTGGTATTCTCATCTCTTGAAGAATTTTCCACAGTTTGTTGTGATCCACACAGTCAAAGGCTTTGGCATAGTCAATAAAGCAGAAATAGATGTTTTTCTGGAACTCTCTTGCTTTTTCGATGATCCAGTGGATGTTGGCAATTTGATCTCTGGTTCCTCTGCCTTTTCTAAAGCCAGCTTGAACATCTGGAAGTTCATGGTTCATGTATTGCTGAAGTCTGGCTTGGAGAATTTTAAGCATCATTTTACTAGTGTGTGAGATGAGTGCAATTGTACAGTAGTTTGAGCATTTTTGGCATTGCCTTTCTTTGGGACTGGAATGAAAACTGACTTTTTCCAGTCCTGGGGTCACTGCTGAGTTTTCCAAATTTGCTGGCATATTGAGTTCAGCACTTTCATCTTTCAGGATTTGAAATAGCTCAATTGGAATTCCATCACCTCCACTAGCTTTGCTTGTAGTGATGCTTCCTAAGGGCCACTTGACTTCAGGGAGTAGCATCAGTAATTTCTCATTTGTGAAAACATTTCTTTCTATGTAGAGCTATGCTACATATATCTCTAGTGGTGTTTCTATAGAAGTTCTTCAACAACATATCATTAATTCCATTCCCTGTATAAGGCTTCTCAAATCTCATCATCCTTTCATCCTGAACATTAAGAAATGTAGGTGCAAGGTCTTAAAGATCAGATATTTTGAAGCTGACACTGAGTCAAGATTATAGGGCCAATGAGGCAAGCAAAACATGAATTCAGCCATATTCATGTCTATGTTGCATATTTTATTATGTAACTTGTATTATGTTATTTTGTACTTTCACTAGGAATTATAATCTAATGTTATGTTGCTTCTGTTATAGGTTTAATCTAATGTTGCTTCTGTTATAGGTTTAATAGCTCTACCTAGAAATAACCAACAATATGGTTTTTGAATGAATTACCTAGATTATATTGAACTATCCATTTTTAGCTTCTTCTCAAAAGTGCAATCATTTCATAAAAATATTTTTCCAAATACAAAATAATCATTACAGTCTAATAATGGCTCAAATTTTTCATATGCTATTAACTTAAGAGAGTAATATATTCTCAGTGTCAAAGATCAATACAAAGATGAATTATTTGGCAGGTCTGCAATATTGATATAGTGAAAAAATTGAAAACTGATGAACTTGGCTGCCCATTGGAATTACCTGGAAAACCTGAAAACGTACTGATAGCTGGAATCCACTCAAAGATTCTTTATTAATTTGGGGGTGTGGCTTGGGCATAGGCTGTTCTGAAGGCTTTGTAGTTAATTACAATATGCGCCAAGTTTCAGAACCACTGCTCTAAACCCTTGATACTCAAGGTTTGAGAACCAGCAACATCAGTTTTACCTGGAAGTTTGTTTAAAAAGCAGAAGCTTAACTATTCCCCATACCTATTGAATCAGACCCACATTATCAGGGCTTCAATTTAAACTATAAAGAATCCTTTTCTTAAAAAAAATAAAGAACCAAGTCTATTCCATCTTTTCCAACTCTAAAACTCAGATCCTTCAACATGAATGAGATACTCAAAAGCACTTTCAAACTTACCTAGAATTCTTTATCTATAAATGAGAGACCAAAGCCATCCTATCCTCTCCAACTCCATAATTCTCATTTCACAAACTTAAATATAATGCTGAGGAAACTTGTAAAAATTGTGTCATCATTTCATCTTCATGCCTTTACATACACTTTCTTTTCCTTAGAATTCCTGTTTCCTTTCTCTTCTCTCATTGAGACACATCATTTAAGATCTAGGTAAAATCCTATTTCCTTTAGGAAACACATCTTGAAAAATAATATAGTTTTTCTCTAAAATTCTATTGTCAATGCAATCAATTTCATGAAGTGTAGCACATTTTTTGCTTTCTATGATTACATGCATAATATCTTGTTTTCCCAGTTAAACAATGAGTATCTTAAGTAAGGGATCATGTCATGTTCCTTTTCTAACCCAACCCAATGTCTAACTTTTGTAAGTGAACTGTATATTGTTAAAATGTATGTGGGAAATAAAAATAATTGTGCATTACTCTCACAAGATTACGTATTCAAAAGCAGACTACCTTTGCCCTTTCCCCACAATGTGACCTTACCACACATAATGCACATTCCAGCACATCTGGGTGAATCTAATCAGTTGTGCCTTAGAGTCTCCTATTCTTTTCTTCCTGCTTCCCTCAGGCCTGACAGTCTGATGATGAAACTATTTCAAATAGCACAGAAACTCTACCGAAGAAAACCTTTGCTCATCAACCCTACAGTATACCTATAGGAGACCTCTCATGTCCCGTAGCCATGCCTGTCTTACTCACCATTACATCTCCATCATTGTGTTTGGCACATACTGAGCATAAAACTGTATTAGAAACAGTGTTTCAACCAAAAACACAGGAATAAGCAATAAACAATGCATGCTACTGAGCTTGTGATAATATTTAGAAGTATAGTCTTTTATTATAGTAGCTCCTATAAATATTTCCCTTTATATATATGTATATGTATATTTCTATGATAAAAATAATATGCAGTCATTGTAGAAAACACAGATTTAGCAAAATGAAAAAATGTAATCCCTGAAAGAGCAGAACCCAAGTATAGCAGATGCATATCTGTACAGACTATTGATTTATATATGTATATATGCATATGTATATGGGTGTGTGCATTTATATATATATACACAAACATATGCTATTAAACATATATATCTCAAAACAGGCTCACACTCTTATCTCCTGCTATATATCCTACTTTTATTCGATTAAGTATAAAAAAGCATCACTCTAGTCAGCAAGCCAGTTTATAATAAAATTTGTTTATGACGGTTGCATTAACATATGTACCAAAGTTTATTTGATCAATTACCTATCTTTAAAAGACTGAGTTATTCCATTTTTGGTAATTATAAATAATGCTATGATGAACAATATTCCTCATTCATTATCCAAATATTTCCTTAGACTAAAAACCAGCTCTCTCACCAGGGGATGGGAGTTTTTGAAAACATTTCATCAGCGATTCTACATTCTTTGCTGTAATATTTATTAAGCAATCATACAGAGTGAAATGTGACAAAAAGAATAATTGATGCAGTTGGAAAATACTCACATTCTTTTTGAGGGCAGATTTCAGTTTGGAGTGATTGGAATTCATAGAATGGTATCTCATGTTTGAATGTGGATGTGAGAATATCGTCAAGTTCGTCAATGTCATTCTGTTTTCAAATGAAAAGGAAATGTTTTTTTAGTTTAATTATTTACAAAGAAACATCTTAGTGCAATATAATAAAAATTATTGACTGGAATAAATACTGGGTAACCTTTAATAATACTTACAACTTTAAAAAAATAACAACACAAAATATTAGGGACATGGAAAAAAGAATAAAAGAAAAATGAATGCAAGAAATAAGTCTTTGCTTTTGGTTGGGCTTCCTTTGTGACTCAGCTAGTAAAGAATCTGCTTGCAATGTGGGAGACCTGGGTTTGATCCCTGGGTTGGGACGATCCCCTGGAGAAGGGAAAAGCTACACACTCCAGTAATCTGGCCTGGAGAATTCTATGGGCTGTATAGTCCATGGGGTCACAAAAAGTTGGACACAACTGAGCAATTTTCACTCACTCACTTTAGATGAGCTAATTTACTTGAAAATTGACTAATTTTAGAAGAGCTTTATAGAAAGTCAATGATAACACTGAAATTTGCTTCAATAATAAATTGTTAAAATATATGTTTCATTTTAATAAATGAGATAAAATGATGACTCTGATTCAATTTAAGGGTCAGAAATGAAACAGTCTTAGATTATTTTACTTCTGTGTCAAAGTGAGGGTGAATATTCATCTTGACCTATTTTTCCCCTGTAGATATAAAATAATTATATGTCAACTTTATTTCCCTAATTTGAACATTTTGGGAGGGTTATTGGTCTTGTACTACCAATGACATAACTGACTGCAAAGGCTACCATTCTTTTAAACTGTGTTTTGTGAAGCAATAGCTGAGATTAAACTGATTTGTGACCTAGATGATTAAAGCTGAGAAAGTAGGCCAATGAACAAAAGCCATGGGGTGGAGAGAGGATTATGGAACAAAAATATCTACTAAAGACTTTTGAAATGATTTCCAAGTAAATTAGATAGACTGCCAATATAAAGTCCCAGAAATTGGATGATTGGGTTGAAAAAAATGATGTTACTCTATTTCTTCATTTTTCAATAATCTGGATACCTCAAATAATAAAATGATTCAAGCCTTTCTGGATTTTCTAAAAGTCCTGTTTAGAAATGAAGAGAAAGGATGAAACTTATAGCTATGTAACGCAAAGCAAAATGAAAGTGTTAGTGGCTCAGTATTGTCCGACTCTTTACGACCCCATGGACTTTAGCCTGCCAGGTTCCTCTGTCCATGGGATTTCCCAGGCAAGAATACTGGAGTGGATTGCCATTTCTTCCTCCAGGGGATCTTCCTGTCCCAGGGATCAAACCTGCATCTCCTGCATTGGTATGCGATTTTTTTTTTTTTTTTTTTACCATTTAGCCACTTTTTTTTTTTTTTTACCATTTAGCCATATCTAACTAAAAGGGTGGTTAAAAATACAAAAATCTAGTCTTCCCATCTTTAATAGCAGACAAGAGGCAAGGAAAAAGGTTTTAAAATATTGATGTTGAATGAAGAAACCTCTAAGGTTGACTACAGAATACTAAGTTATTTTTAAAAATCTGGTAGAGAAATACAGTAGTAGTAAGGAATCTTTATTAACAAGATAAATGATTTCAGTGAAATGATCATAGGAAGGCTATGAAATTCAAAATAGGAGACGAAACACATCATTTGCAGCATTTTACTTTCAGATATCTAAAAGGAAAGTTAATGGTTGAACTAAAAACATCTTGTTTTTCTTATAACAAATTTCTATGTTTCCTTAAGTTTCACTAGTAAAAGAAAATAAGGTTCACTTCGTTTATTCCATTGTTCATAATGTGTGCTATGAAAGCCAGCCAAAATAGACATTTAAAGGAAAATTTGATACATAGTTTACATATCTTAAACACAATTTCCTCCTACAGCTTGTAAAAAGAATGACAGAGAACAGAACAAATATTTTTTGGTTATAAAAAGCTTTTTGTTTTTTACTTTATGAGTATTCAACTTCAGGCACTTAATGTAAAAGAATAAACAACATCTAAGTTCTAATGAGATGGATGAAACTGGAGCCCATTATACAGAGTGAAGTAAGCCAGACAGATAAAGACCAATACAGTATACTAACATATATATATGGAATTTAGAAAGATGGTAATGATAACTGTATATGCAAAACAGAAAAAGAGACACAGATGTACAGAACAGACTTTTGGACTCTGTGGGAGAAGGCGAGGGTGGGATGTTTTGAGAGAACAGCATCGAAACATGTATATTATCAAGGGTGAAACAGATCACCAGCCCAGGTTGGATGCATGAGACAAGTGCTCGGGGCTGGTGCACTGGGAAGACCCAGAGGGATGGGGTGGGAAGGGAGGTGGGAGGGGGGATTGGGATGGGGAATACATGGAAATCCAGTATGGCAAAAACCACTACAATATAAAAAAAAGAAAAGAATAAACAAGTAAATTGGGATAAGATAAAAGAGATAGTTTCCTTTGCCAAATTAATTTTTCTAAGTTTTAAATAAGTCAGTTCTAAGAATTTCAACATGTCATGACCATATATGCAAAAATAAATGTTAAGAGTATAAAACAATGCAATTTAGCACTTCCTTCTAATATTTTGTATTTACTATTGATTAGGTATCCATGTACCTGTAGAAAATCTTTAAATAACTTGAAAGCATTTATACCAGGAAGAAAATATATTTTGGGATCTGAGAAACCTCTGTTGAAATGCCTGCTTCAGGGCTTATTAGTTGTGGGCCTTAATAATACTTAACCAACAGAATTACTCAGGAGTTTAAATAGTTTGATGTGAGCCCTCAGATATAACACATGAAATACAATCACTGTGATTTAGAAAAGTGCACATCTATTCATAAGGAGAGTTCACTCCCCAAACTAGCCTTTGCACTGACTGAACAAATTAAGTGCAAAGGCTAGTTTGGGGAAAGAAGTCTGAACGAATAATTTAGTTTCTCTTTTTAAATTAAGTAACACTTATCTGTAAAATTAGTTAGAATGTAGGTTTTATACTGTAATACAGGAATCCAAAATGTCAGAGGCTAAAGTGAGATAGAAGCCCATTCATTTCTCCTTAACATAAACATCTGGAATGAAGTAGTCTGGGGCTGCTGTCCTGGCTCCTTGATTATGGGATCCAGGCTCTATTTTGTTTCACTGCTGCATATCATTTTCATGGTTTTGGATGGTTCACAAATCATTCCCTTGTTAGCACTTCAGTCAATCACAGGAAAAAGCGAGTAATGGGGAGAGCATGACTACATCCTTCTTTTAAGAACATGATCAGAAATTTGCACAAATCACTTCCACTGACATGCTGTTGACCATTAATTAGTTATATGACTACACCTAGTTGCAAGGGAGTCAGCAAGTGTAATAATTACCTGGGTGGTCATGTGCCAGTTATATTACCATACAAAAAAGGAAATAGAAATATTAATGAACAATTAGCAGTTTCTGTCATCTCCATCAGTCATGCAAAATGTATAAACATTATAATTATGTGAAGGCAATCTGATAAAAGTTAACAAAAAAAAAAAACACTCTTATAGACCATTGATTGAATTTGACTGTGCTGAATTTTTTGACTTGATCCCTCTCTCACATAAGGTCAAAAAAGTCTCAAAACTTTAACTTGATCAAACTTGAACAGACTTTTGAATGAAGATATTTAGTGACATTAATGATGAAACAAAAAAGAAATGAAATAACAAAGTTTTCTATGGCAGGCATTTGGTAGAATAACCATAAGAATCATCTCTTTTCTCACCCTTACATCCCATTAGCAATCATTCTGTAACACCTTATTGTTAAATATGGGCTTTCCAGGTGGTGTTAGTGGTAAAGAGCCTGCCTGCCAATGCAAGAGATGTAAGAGATGTGGGTTTGATCCCTGGGTTGGGAAGATTCCTTGGAGGAGGGCATGGCGACCCATCCCAGTATTTTTGCCTGGAGAATTCCATGAACAAAGGAGCCTGGTGGGCTATGGTCTGCAGGGTTGCAAAGATTGAGACACAACTGAAATGATTTAGCATGCAGGTACATGCACTGTTAAATATGAAACAAGGGTGTTTTTAAAAATTTATTCAGTTTTTAATTGAATAATCGCTTTACAGAATTTTGTTGTTTTCTGTCAAACGTCAATATGAATCAGCCATAGGTATACATATGTCCCCTCCCTCTTGACGTTTTTTTACAATTTATTTAAATTTTTTTACAATTTGTTTAAAATTTTTTACAATTTGTTTACATTTGTTGGTTTCTGTCACACAACGATGGAAATCAGTCATAATTACATGTATATCCCCTCCCACTTGACCATCCCTCCCTTCCTCACATCCCACCCCTCTAGGTCATCCCAGAGCAGCAGAGCTCCCTGTGTTACACAGCAACTTCTCACTAACAATCCATTTTACACACAATAGAGTAAATATATTGATGCTACTTCCTCCATTTGTCGCACTCCCTCTCTCCCCCACTGTGTCCACTAGTCCATTCTTTACATCTCCATTCCTTGCGTCTCCGTTCCTTCCTTGCAAATAGGTTCATTAGTATCATTTTTATACATTTCATATATATGTGTTAACACTATAATTGTTTTTCTGTTTCTGACTTACTTCACTCTGTACGGCAGGACCTATGTTCATCCACCTTGCTAGAATTGACTCAAATTCATTCTTTTTTATGGCTGAGTAATATACCATTTTATATATGTACCACATCTTCTTTATCATCTGTCAATGAATATCTAGGTTGTTTCCATGCCCTGGCTATTGTAAATAATGCTGCACTGAACACTGGGGTACAAGTGTCTTTTAAAAATTGTGGTTTTCTCAGGACATATGCCCAATAGTGAGGTTGCTGGGTCATGTGGTAGATTTATTCCTAATTTTTAAAAGAGTCTCCATACTGTTCTCCATACTGGCTATTTCAGCTTATAGTCCCACTAACAGTATAGGAGGGTTCCCTGTTCTCCACACCCTCTCCAGCATTTATTTGTAGATTTTTTGATGATGGCCATTCTGATTGGTGTGAGGTGATA